AAGGAAGGAAGGAAGGAAGGAAGGAAGGAAGGAAGGAAGGAAGGAAGAGTTGCAGGGAGGGAGGGAAGGAAGGAAAGGGAGAGGAGAGAAAGAGTAAGGAAAGAAAGAAGGAAGGAAGGAAGGAAGGAAGGAAGGAAGGAAGGAAGGAAGGAAGGAAGGAGGGTTGCAGGGAGGGAGGGAAGGAAGGAAAGGAGGGAGAGGAGAGAAAGTAAGGAAAGGAAGGAAGGAAAGGAAGGAAGGAAGGAAGAAGGAAGGAAGGAAGGAAGGAAGGAAGGAAGGAAGGAAGGAAGGAAGGAAGGTAGGAAGGAAGGAAGGAAGGCTTGGTGGGCATGGCTTGGTGGTTGTGGCCAGCTCGACATCACTTGTGTCATGGGTGCCTGTGCTGGCCTGAAGTGCCCTGCCAGAGAAAACAAGCTGCCAAACTCCGTTTTCAGCTGCAATGGCCTCCTGTAACCTTCTGCTCGTGAAAACTGAGCGTGGGAGGGCTGCTCGCGGTCCTCCAAAGCTCCGTTTTTGCTGGCAGAGGCACCACAGTCTGGTCCTTCGCTGTATCCAGGGCAGACCCACCGGAGGTGGTATTCAGATGGTTCTGACCGGTTCTGGAGAACCAATAGCGGAAATTTTGAATAGTTTGGAGAACCGGCAAGTGCCACCTCTGACTGGCCCCGCCAACCCCATCTATTTTCTGCCTCCCATTGAGTCCCAGCTGATTGGCTGGGTCTCCTTTAGTTGCCCTGCACAGGAGAACGGAGCTGGAAAGCAGGTTAATGGGATTGGGAGGAAATGGGGATTTTTCAGTATCCTTACCCTGCCACAACCACCAAGCCTGCCTGCCTGCCTTCCTTCCTTCCTTCCTTCCTTCCTTCCTTCCTTCCTTCCCTCCTCCCTCCCTCTACAATCCTTTCCTGCCTCCTTCCCTCCTCTCCAGAGTAGGGTATTCAGCCGGTTCTGACCAGTTCTGGAGAACCGGTAGTGGAAATTTTGAGTAGTTTGAAGACCTGGCAAATGCCACCTCTGACTGGCCCTGCCCCCCATCTGTTCTCTGCCTCCTGAGTCCCAGCTGATAGGCTGGGTCTCCTTTGGTTGCTCTGCAAAAGGAGAACGGAGCTGGAAAGCAGGTTAGTGGGGTGGGGAGGGAAGGGGGATTTTGCAGTATATCGTTCCCCTGCCACGCCCACCAAGCCACACCATGTCCATCAAGCCATGCCCACAGAGCTGGTAGTAAAAAAAAATATAATCAAATCCTACCCCTAGGCCCCGTGGCCAGATCTAAGCACCCCGCAGGCGAGATCCAGCCCCTGGGTGTTGAGTTCGACACCCCTGCCTTAAGGGAAAAGAGGAAACATTTGTGGAATAGGGCCAGGACTTTCTTGTGAGGAAGATCCCTCTGATTAAGCTCACTAACTGCCTGTTGATGTGAGGATGGATCTTGATCCATGTTGTGATGGAGTTACACCACATAATATGGAAAGTTAGAAACAGCCCCCAAAAGTCACATTCTTCAATAGAAGTAAATCCGTGTTGCCTGGTGTCATCAATCGCCACCTCCAGGCCTCAGCAGGGCCAGATTTTGTTCCCACGGGAAGGAGAGCCACCTGGCCTAGACAACTCTCCTTATCTCCATTCCTCCCACCTTAGGAATGTGGGAGCACCATGACCAGCAAAGAGATACAAAGGAAAAGGAATATATATATAATAAGGCTAAATAAAATGGCTCTACACATATGTCCATTTTCGGGCTTGACAGCCGCGTGAATGATGATGGGCTGGTGGGCACGCACAGCCCCGCTCACAGGAACTGTGGGCTGCGGTGCTTGCAGCCTTACTCATGCGAATGGCAGGCACACAAGCCTGCGGCTCACACAAATGAAGCTGGACGCATACGTACACCTTCCCCTTACACAAAACCGTTGCTTTTCCCCCCCTCTCCCCTCCCTGTGCCGGATCGCCAATATTGGGGAACATTGCTTTGCACACTATCATGTGCTTCTGCGTATTTGGAAGCATCTAAGGGTACAAAAGAGCATTGGGGGACTTTTGAATTATCTCCACTTAACCCCAGGCTGTCAATGCTACCAAAGTTCGATATATGGCCCCTTTAGTGATTGAGAGAGCTGGAAAGCTCAAAAAATTGAGGAAGTTGTTGGTGGCCTTTTCATTCTGATTTCTCTTTCTCTCTACAGAATATATTTGGGAAGAGTAAGGCTCCGTGAGTAACAATCTCTATGGAATTTTACGGCACAAAGTCAGACCAGGAAATATACTGGAATAAGCGGGGGACATTTAAGGGTGGGATCTTATCTCTTAAGAAGAGATCTTATCTCTTAAGAAGAGATAAGACGAAAGAGCAAGGTATCGCAGAAGGTCTTGTACAAAATAGCAACAGCACGTAGATTTATATACCGCTTCACAGTGCTTTTACATCCTTCTCTAAGCGGTTTACAGAGTCAGCCTCTTGCCCCCCAACAATCTGGCTCCTCGTTTGACCAACTTTGGAAAGGATGAAAGTCTGAGTCAACCTTGAGCCTGGTGAGATTCGAACTGCAGAACTCCGGGCAGTCAGCAGTCGGTAGAATTAGACTGCAATGCTGCATTCTAACCACTGTGCCACCACCGCTTTTATCAGCTACAAGACCCTAATTAATTCACTGATTTTTTTTGCCTTCTGAGGCAGGACGTGCCTTAATCCCAAATTGGGATTCTGTTAGAAGAAGGCTTTCATAACCACACAATCTTTCTGCGTGAAAGAATAAGATGTCGGTTGCCAACTAGGCGTTCTCTGTATTCTGTCTATGTGTAGGTTTCCAGAAATGTTCTAAAAACCTGGTAGAAGCCAAGTTGAGCATGGCTTCAGTTTGGAGACCGAAAAAGGCAAGTGGGGAAGAGGTGCTGTGAATTCCCTCTTGAGCTCTTGCGGATATACATTGACCCCATAAAATATAACCCAAGTTAATGGTCAGGTTTTCTTTGGTCTGGCAAGAGAATGAGGTTGCAAGCTGTTTTTAGCAATGAGTGGAGGAAATAGGAACCTATCAAGCAAGGCTCTGAATTCACCATCTTTGTGGTCCTTAAAGGTCTGAACTTCCACCGGAACCTCCAAAGAGACCGGGTAAGTGGTAGATTCCTTCACCTTGGAATGACCTCAGAAAAACGGCAGTATTTCTCCAAGTGATACCACCAGATGAGGAGGATCTTATGGAGGCCAAAAACAAGACCTGGCGGCTCAGGGTATCAGCCTCCAAGATCTTTTCGACCGCTTTGCATCTTTCGGCTGCCATGAGTAACGGGGG